TCACTTGCTTGAATAGTCTAGTAACTAGTGGGTCTCTCGTGGTGATTACATTTATTGTTGATCATATAATAAATCACTCCAAAAGGTAAATTTAAACTCAATTTACTCAAACGAGAGGTTTTTGTAAAAAAAAAGCAAAGCATGCATTAAAAATCTTCAACGGATATATGTTTTAAAAAACTTAAAATTTTTTGATGACATTTTAAGCTGTTTTATTTCAGTTTTTTGTTAAAGAAAGCAACGATCCTTTAGTGCCGTTAGAATCTCGTTGACTGTGAAAAGACCGGAAGCGGCGTTTTTCCCGAGTATTCTTATCTTAAAATTTTGAAGCAATAACATTCTGTATGATGTTGTATCATGAAAATGTGTAAACGGTTTATATTTATAGTAAATAAGTAATTCATTATTTTATTTTAATATTAAGCATACCACTTCGTCAAGTTATATGTTATGGATAATACATTAATTTAATCGCAGGGGACATTAAAAAGTGACCCATGTTTGTATATATAAGTTTATAAGATTTATTAGTATTTGTTTTAATATTGTTATGTATTCTGATGATAGAATAAAATAAATTTCTTTTAACGCCCATGTCTATATATTTGTGTATGTATATTTCAGGACAAATTTTTACGCAATGTTATCTAGTCCCAAAAAAGCAAGGCTTGTACTATGGATTCTAGGTAATTGATAAACATACCCTTCTTTTGCAAATAACTACATATTATAGGTATATTTATAAACACCCAGACACCGCAAAAAGACTATATTCATCACGCAATATTTTTCCAGTATTAGCAATCGAACGCATATGTGGCAGGAGACAGGTTTACTATCCACTGCGCCAATCGGGTCGTCAAATATAGGTATTTTTTATGCGAAAATTTGTCAAACAAGCACCTGATGTTAAGTGAATTCCGCCGCCCACGGACATCTGCCACACCCGAAGGTTACAGATGCGTTGACAACCTTTTGAAAATTGGTAATTTGGTATTAAACATGTTTTATTTACGATTATGTGGCAACATTTTTTTACTACGGGTATATAATAAGCGATAACGATATCGACGGTTAATATAAATAATTAAAACAAAAGGACAAGATTAGATCAATAGGTATTTAATTAATTAAAGATGAGAAGTATTTGCAATCTCTTGAATATATTTGCAATTGCAAACGCCGTGGATGATATAATGTGACTCCATATAATCTTCTTATTATGAGACTGATAATTTTGTTATTAGAACAAAAACGCTGAGGAAAGCACGTTCGTTATGTATGGGCTACGAAAGCTCTCAAGCGAGGTCGCGCAGCTGCTAAGCTTTTGTAATGAATCCAAAAAAAAAGAAAAACAGCTAGCCGCTTATGCGAAATTGCACTTGGAAAATGAGATATCTATTTTATTAACGTAAATTGATGTTATCAAAATCGTAATAAAATAATCGAATAGGCAATCATGGACGGGACAATATTTTGTTTGTGCAATTAATAACGTTTGTTCGCTTAACTAAATTTAAACGGATACAACACTAGCCTTCACCTGCGACTTTGCCTACTGCATATTGCATGCATTTTTTATACACAAAACTGTGTTTAATTGAAAATATGCCGTTTTCCCGACGATTTTTCCTTCACCGCTGAGCAAATGCACAAGTCAGCACTTAAATTTAACAATTTCATCGGTGTCTGCAGCGGGGATCAAACGCAGGTTGCTCTAGATCTAGACTCTAGTATATTGAATTAAAGGCGACTCGACACTGAGCTATCACAGCTCCTAATTTTTTTATTGTAAGTCAAATATTGTTCTATATATACATTTTTTATGGGAGAAGGTGACTAGCGAGCAGGCGATCTGATCTTAAGTGATAACCGTGGCCCATTGACATTTGCAACACGCGTAGGATTGCAATAGTGTTGCCACCTTTTAATAAAGTGGGCCCCGTCTACCTCACTCACCAGACGAAACGTAGAAGCAAAACGTTTCCACTTTACGCCGGTCTTCGGTGAGGTCGTGTTACTTACCCGGACGGACCTGTCCATTCATGCAACAGCAAAGACCGCTGCGTGGCCCTACTCTTCTGCGCCGGGACACTGTACATACATATCTTGGCCTGTTTTCATTTACTTGAAATAAAAGGTGAAAGAAAGGGCTATAAAGAAAATATTATTGAGCCTCTGGTTTATCAAAATACATTCCAATGCTATTAGAATATAAATTCTTAAGTGCTCACTGAAGATATTCTCCGTCGAAGGTAATTTAGATCATTGTAATGCAATCTCCAACAGCCGTTACATGAATGTTCGCGTCTCGTCCGTGAAAATTTATTGCCATAGAAATATGAATTACTTCTTTCTGTTGAAAAGAATATTATGAGACTACCTACTACTCATAGGGACGGAAAATCTTTTAAATTCTTAGCATGCAACAAATGGTGCCATTAGTTTGTACTTATATAGAATCCATTCCTAGATTTAGACAAGGGAAGTAAGGAAAATATAGTAAAAAACATAATACCATTTAATTTTTATTACCTTATTATTAAAAGGAGTTAATACCATACTAATTTGGACATAAGTGACGGTAATCACACTGTATATGGTTTACTTGGCTATCGTTTCACAACAAAAAAGGCTAACATTTTATACTTAAACCTTAATTTCCTTTAGATTCAATCTTATTTATCCAACATACTCGTACAGACGACTCTTCCTATCTGGGCGATTAATGATAATTACGTCTACCCAAATCTATTAAACCTTTAAATGCTTCAGAAGGTTAAACATAAGCGAACAGTTTCTGACTTTTAATCGTATGGGAAACGAATATACATTCAATTGCTTAAATTTATTGCTAAAGTTTGTCCTTAATTTAAGTACCAAGAAGATTTATTTAGTCCAATGTTAGGAGAAAGTTTTCTTGTGATGAATATTAATGAGAATGATCGATAGGTACTAATTAAATATAATTCGATTATTATTATTATAGGAGAGAGTAGGAACAAAAGTGGAAACAGACAAACACATTAAATCATTTCAGCCTTTTTCAGTCCACTGCTGAACATGGCCTCCCCCACAGACTGTTCGGCACGATCCTGAACTACGCCTCCATCGACTTCCTGCAGTGATGACATACAGAACTGAGACGTAGTAATTGTGGAACCACGCAACAGTATTCGTTGTTGCACGAATGGGCAGGTCCGTCCGGGTTAGTACCACGACCTCACAGAAAACCAGAGTAAAGTAGAAGTGTTACACTTCTGCGTTTCGTCTAGTGAGTGAGGTAGCCGGGGCCCACATTATTAAAAGGTGGCAATACATCTGCAATCGGTGTTGCAAATGTCCGTGGGCGGCGGTTATCACTTATCATCAGGTGAAACGCCAGCTAGCTTGCCACTTTCTCTCATAAAAAAGACGTGGTCCTTCACTGCTGGCCGTATGAGGAAGCTCAAAATCGCTCAACAAACTATGGAGCGGGATATGCGCAGTATTTCTCTGCCTGATAAGAGTTCGCAACGAAGTAACCGACGTTGCTCAGAAGGTTAGTTAACCTGAAGTGGCGATGGGCCGGCCATTTAGCTCGTAAAACCAATAACCGTCGGGAAACAAAAGTTCTCGAGTCGTTGCCTCGCACTAGCCATCGTAGTGAGGGACGCCCCCACTAGATGGAGTGACGACCTGTTCAAGTATTCCAAGTGGGAAAAATAATTCAGTTGATACGATATTATAAATTCTATCAAAAGTTATTTACTTTTTGCGACATTAATAATGACCAATGGACAAGTAAGCTGTCTAAGAAACTTTGTTGTGCTTCTGAGTGAGTTACCATATGTATAACATGATGTTCCACTCACACACGCAATAACATAAATTACAATTTTATATGTTTCACTTTAAACATACATTAATTGATATGTAAGTTTTAAAAACATTCGGCTCATCACATAAGTTCAAGTTTCACTCTTTGCGAAACCTCAATTCTTATGAATGAAGTTGTCGCCCACTGGGCTGTTGATATGGAAACGTTTATGCTGGAGGTCGGAATTCTCCTCAATGGATGTACTCGCTAGGATGGCCAAACGAATAAAGCAGTGAGTTTCGTAAGAGGGACACTCCACACAAGTTTTTACCCAACTTAAGAAAAATAAAACAATAAAATGTAAAACGGAACACTACTTGCGCCTTCAGTTTTCTCTAGGAAATTTCTTACAATCTTAAAAGTACGTTAAATGATATACGTCGGTCGAGGTGAACATTGGGTGTGTGTTATCGACAAGTCGAATAATAAAGTTGCTCTAAGTTCTCTAGTTACTTTAGACGTGATCTTTTAAATATAGACAGTGACAGTATTTGTGGGGTTCGGTATCCAAAGGGTATAACGGGAACCTATAACTAAGACTCCGCTGTCTGTAAGTCCGCCCGTCTGTCACCAGGCTGTATCTCACGAGCAGTTATAGTTACAGTTCATATTTTCACAGATGATGATGTATGCCTTTATAACAACAAATACTTAAAAACAATAAAAAAAATATTTTAGTGGTTCCCATAGAGCGGACATAATTTTTGTCGGTTTTATAGATAATAAGTTAAGGAACCCTTCGTGCAGGAGTCAGATTCGCATTTAGTCTGTTTTTATGACATTTTTTTTATGATATTCTGAAGAATGCATTAAAAAATTTACATAAAAAGAACTGGGCGGTGACGTGGCCGGTCGCTAATAAGTAATAGAACAATAAAAAAAATATTTATAAAACATTTAATATCTTTTTAATACAATCCAGAGATAAAGGACTTAGCAATATGTATAAATATAAATTATTTCTGCAATTATAATTATGGCACCGTTTTTATCAAACAACATTAGTTAGTAGTGAGTGTAGTTTATTTTCAAAAGTATTTTATTATTAAACATTACATAGAAAAGAACCATGATGGTCTTATATGGTGAAACAACGCAGTACCTACATGTTTTAATTAAAAAAAAATGTCGTGCTTCTTTACAGGAATGGTCCCCACCCAATGTACATTTGGCAAAGGTTATGGATACTAGTGGCCTCCACAATAAGATGCTCCACTTGCCCCTCTGGAGAGAGAGACAGGGACAACTGTTTATTCTTCGTTCTCACCTGGAAAAGAAATCGATGTTATAGTGATACCAAAAGACAAAATGACATTTGTTGGATTACTTTTTTTTAATTTGTGTTCGTCTACGTGTAATTGTTATTCCATAATATACATAAAGCCTATAAACGGGAATATATTTTGGATAAAATTGGCAAGCGAGCCGACGCATCACTTAATATTAACTGATTACCGCCGCCCATAGACATCTACAATTCCTCCGGGGATGCAAATACATGGCCAACCCTTTTAGGTTATAACCTGACTCACCAGATGAAATGCGAAAGCATAGAAACAAAAAAACCCTTAAATATCATCAAAACGTAGGTACTTCATAAAATAAGAAAATTAAGTAAATCCGAGAGGTCGTTTCTAATAGCAACGTCTACGTTGGAGACTGGTTAATTAAAAAAAATGTTTAATTGACTACTGCCCGGTTCCTATATTCAACGAACGGCCGTTAGTTACATAGCTTCGTAACTTTCGTAAGGACTTGTAGATAAAAGAAACGCTAGTAACCCATTTTCCAAAGGTAATAAGGAAAACGCCTCGTTTTGTTAATAAACAAACCGGGCGTGCAATAGACAGACGGCGAGAGACGTGACTATCGACGCGACTCCGGAAGTAGCGGGTGTTAATGCCTTTAGAAGGCGGTTTAGACGTAGACGACGATCGGAGCGGTGACAAGAAGTTTCAGCATTCCTTGAAGCTGGTGTACGATGTTAAAGCCGCCCCAACCCCTCCCCCGCGTATGAGGCGACGTGGCGCACCGTGCCGTCTCCCCCTCCCCCGCCCCGCGTATGTAGCGACGTGGAGCACCGTGCCGTCTCCCCCTCCCCCGCCCCGCGTATGCAGCGACGTGGCGCACCATGCCGTTGAGCCGCTGGCGTATGTGGCGCAGGTGCTGCATCGCCTCGGCGTTGGTGCGCTCGGCGAGGTCGCCGGCGGCGCGGCCCCTGCCCCACGCCACCAGCGGGTCGTACACGAACGGCCCCACCACCGACATCAGCGCGGCGGTCTGCGCGCACAACGCGCGCATCACCGCCTCGCAGCACTTCCTGCCCGCCAATATAATTATGTTTCATCGACCGGGTCGGACCTTGACTTCTTTTTTTTTTAATTAAAATTCGTAGAAAAAGTACGAAAAGATAGTCGCCGCTGCGGGAATCGAACCCGCGTCTTCGGCTTTCGCGATCTGACGCTTAGCCACTCAGCTAAACGGCCGATTGCCTCACCAGCAAAAATCTTAACGTCATTCATTGATTTTTTGTGTGATAAAGTAGCAAACGAGCTGGCGGCTCACCTGATGTTGAGTGATAACCGCCGCCCATGGACTTTTGCAACGCCCGTAGGGTTGCAAATGCACTGCCACCTTTAATATGGATGGGCCCCGGATACCTCACTCATAAGACGAAACTTAGAAGTGTAACACTTCTGCTTTACGCCGGTCTTCTGTGAAGCCACTTTATTTAAAGGTGGCAATGCTCTTGCTACCCTACGGGTGTTGTCAATGAGCGACGGTTATGACTTAACATCAGGTAAACCGCCAGGTCGTTCGCCACTTTCGCATATAAAAAAGACACCGGCTTTGCTCGCGTTAACCACTTGTAAACTGTGTCGGGCTTACTCTTCAGTACAAACGGTAAATTCTGATTTATATTATTTAATCGTTATTGCATACTGCATTCACTACCATTTAACCCTGGGTAAAGCAGAAAGAGAATAACTAGGGAAATCAGAATGAATTTGTCATGTGTCAGCGATTTATTTTGGTATTAAAAATTAAACGACCGAACACACGTCCAATCGTCGTATGCGCCGAATAATTTCTGATCTATCGAAGGTAAAATACGATATGTATGACCGTTATTTAGCAGAAAGCTTACAGTTATTTTAAAACTAACTAAAGCCGAACATACTAAACATACGCGCGATAGATATAAAACACATATTTTATTACGGTGTTAAAATCCCGTACCTAAACATGCCCTCGTGTTTCAAGGGGCCCATGGCCGCCTCCATGTTGTGGGTCAACCTGAACGGAACCCTCTCCGGCCACTCGAACGATTCCCCTTTGTTGAACAAGCAGTTGAAATCAACGTGCACCGTGTCACCATTTGTCGAGTCGAATGATATGTTCTCACCGTGACGATCGCCCAAACCTGTTTATTAATTTATTAATTAAAAAAATATGTCAATGAAATAATAGAGACATAAATAACAATGATGACAGTAATAGGACGATTGATAATATTCAGCGAAATTAAAAAAATAATGTAATATTATTATGTATACATTATTATTCTTAAACATACCTAGGATATACCCAACCATTGACATAACAGCTGTGGTACGTATGTAGGCCGATCTTGCTTGGTACCTGAAACAATATTATATTTGAATACGAAAAAATAGATAAAGCAATAAAGCCCTGCCGAATATGATATTGCAACATTTTTCAAGAACGTTTTGGTATGCATTATGTATAGAAAAACGTTCGTTGTATTTTTTGTATACATTAATTAGTATACAATAATTTAAATGTTATTAATTTTGAAAGTGCTATTTGGTCTGAATTTAAAATTTATAGAATAATGGACGAAATGTTTTTCGCCGCTGCGAGGATTTGGACCCGATACTTAAATACAACGATTTGTTAATAGTGATGTATACTTGTAAATAAATGTATTTAGTAACCATTTTACTACTTTTTCGCCATTTGCAATGTTACTAAATTAATAGATAAATACCATCCATAGGGATCGGAGAAGACGCGTCTGAACCACTCCTGGAACACGGGCGGGTGTCGAGGCAACAGCTGTTGCTCGAAGATTCGTCTCATCTTCTCAACGGAGTCGCTTTTGGAGCACATCATCTCTTTTAGCTCCCTGTTCGTGGTATGGATACCTGTTATGGTGAAATGTAATTTTAAACAACCAATATAAAAGTGACCCGATTGGCTTAGTGGATAATGAACCTCTCTCTTGAGCCAGAGGCCCACTGGCTAATAGATTCTTTAAAAAAAAATCAATTATCGTCTCCATTTCTTAAAAGTATAATAAATAGCACCAGCGCGAAGCCGGGGCGGGTAGCTAGTCTATAACACAATAACAATGATAACTCGAGGGCCGCCACACACCCCTCTGCTTGTATATATGCAGCAGTATGGGCCGCAGGCCGAGCAGGTTGGGCACCCACTCGATGAGGCCGCACTCCTCGTTGAGGGGCAGCACGCAGTAGGTCCTGATGTAGAGCCGCCGCCGCCTGCACTCGGGCGAGTCCTGCAGGAAGCGGTTCACCACTCCGTTGAACTCCATCAGCCTGAAGTCCTTGCGCAGATCGTCGCGCGACTTCAGCAGCACGATGTACGACTTCCCGTCGGAGCCTGGTGAGGAGTTTCCACCGCGTCGGGATTTATTCATATCTCTTTTTATGTGGAAAACTTGCCAAGCGAGCGGACGGTTCGGCCTGCCACACCCGTGTTGCAGATGCGTTGACAACCTTCCGAAATCTGGGCTCCGGGCCATCTCGCTCACCAGACGAAACGCGATCGTATTTGTCATACTTCCACTTTACGCCGGTCTTCCGTGAGGTCGTGGTACTCACCCGGACGAGCCCGCCCATTCGTGCAACAGTGTACAGAATTACATGGATAAAAGTAAAGTAACAGCCTATACATGTCCCACTGCTGGGCAAAGGCCTCCTCTATACAGAAGGTATCAGGGCATAGTCCACCACGCGGCCCCACTGCGGATTGGCGGATTCACATATCTACGATATATATATTTTTTTTGTTATTATTTCGAAAATATGCAGGTTTCCTCACGATGTTTTCATTCACCGCGGAGCACGTGATAAGTCAGCACTTAAAGTTAAAAACTTCATTGGTGCCGGCACCGGGGATCGAACTCAGGTTGCTCGAGTATATTGAATTAAAGGCGAGCGCCCGGACACTGAGCTATCACGGATAGTTTTTACATGGATAGTTTTAGATTACATGGATAGTTTTCAATATTTATTTTTCAATTGGATCCTCACTGGAGGTTCTGCGTGACGAAATATATAGTACGTAATTATGAGACGGCTAAATTAGTGAGCTAGTTCGCGGTCGAGCTCCGTCTCGCGTTTCAGTGCGAATCACACTCACCTTTATGAAGGCCCTCCGATGGTTCCAAAAATAGTCGTTATATACACAGATTTAACGTGAGTTTATCCGTCTTATAATTACTTAAATAATGTCTCACGAAAGATTTAATAATTTTATTGAAAAATGTATGTAGTAATCATCATCGGACTCCTGCCCTTATCCTACCTAGGTGGGGTCGACACAACATATGAATCATGTTATAAGTGGTTTTACGACCGGTCACCTGCCTGACGTCAACCTTCCTTGGGAAACAAACGCAAATTCGGAACAATTTTTTATCTGTGGGTCACACAAATACTTGAATAACCCACGACCCCCGACACCGAAACCAATAGTTGAGCAACAGCTCCACCGACTGACGAATCAAATCAAATTACTCACTAAGTAAAAACTAAATATAAAAAACTATAGTCTAACAGCACATAAACGGACAATCTGCAACTTTGTTACAATAATCTTTAATGATTGAGCATTTTTATTTATACCAAAATTCATGAAAATATTAACACCGTTGCAAATTCTAGTCGCGTAATCGCCAATCGTTATTATTTATACCAAAAGCCATTCAGTAATCTCTAAGATGATTCCAACCAGTTCATACAGACATAGTCAATAACAAGAGTAGATCTAGAATAAGAAGAATAGAAGTTTCTTAGACCGACCGACCTTTTAGAGTGACCTTCCTAGGTTTTTGCAAAGAGGGCAATATTTGTATCTTCTCCTCTATACCGGCGATGTAAACTGAGGGCTCTTTTGGCATGTTCAAGTCGATGCGCTCCTGTCGCGCCGCCTTCGAGGGCAGGACGATCTTGCAGAACTCTTGGAACGGCACCATTATTCGGCTGAAGTTATCGCCGGCCAGCAGACGGGGCAGGGTTCGAACGAGCGAAGAGACGGTTGGATTCTGTTGACACATTTATTGTTGACATGAGAAATTCGCAAAACGGAGGACACACTGAAGCGGGATCGAACCCGGGACAAAGAACGAAACTGCGGTGTTCCAGCCACTAGGCTATCTCTGCCATCGTTTAGAAATACAAGATAAATGAGATTGTCACAATGCGACAAAGTGTCGGATATCTCCTCAATGGTCAAAGTGGAGAAGGTTAAACAATGCCGAATCCATTGGCACCAGAAATGATGTCATAACTCGAACATGATACCAATAATTGGTGCCACTTCCCGAGGTACATAATGAAATGTATATTAGCAGCAATTATAGTGTATGATTAAAGCATAGATAAAATATTTATAACAATGTAACAGAGAAAAAATTCAAAATATGTTCTCATTCCCCTGGCGGGGAAAATGAGGGACTTATTCTTAGCTGCGAATTACATTATTTTGCACCTCACTAACACCGCATCTTTCAACTCAGGGCAGGGTCTATCTATTTCCACCCACCTTTGAAATTGTATCCACGCTCCGTTGTAGCTGTAATATGATTTCGGGGAATAAATATTTACCGTTTACAATACATATTTAATACAATATTTCGCGGGCTACTTTCTTGTCTTTCAACTCTGACGGAGTGGGCAGGGTCTATTTCCGGCCTTGCTGAGATCGTATCCACACAAAATTTCGGGGAACAAACGGGGTCACCCACCGCCGCGTTGGCGGGCAGGGGCTTGTTGCACAGGTCAATCAGCTTCTCGGCGAACTGCGTGAAGTCCCCGACCAGCTTCAGCATGTGGGGCTCCCTGAGGCGAGGATCAGAGAGGACGTCCGCGCAGCGCTTTATCCGCTGCGGGTAGCTCGACTTGATGACGCACATCATCATCCACAGCGTGTGCTGAGGGTACGCGAGGATCAGGCGCACTATTATCGCCTTCAGCTGCTGGTACACCTGCAACATGTGGGATGGTGTTCGCTACGGAGTCGAACCCACGACCCGCTGCGCCGCAGCCAATACCTAGGCAACGGGGTCATCAAAAGTACGCGAGTGGATGAAAATCGCATTAGTGTGGAACATTCGAAAAGGAGTTTCCCCGTGCGGGGATCCAACTGCGCGACCTTGGCGACTGCGCCACGGGGCCTTAAAAAGTACGCGAGTTGATGAAAATGGTAAATTAGTGGTACTACGATACCGAGTAGCAACTACCGTTGCACGAATGGGCACGTTCAAACTTTATTTCCTTCAATTTCATATTAAGTTATTATTAGGTCTAATATCTTCACTTGAGAGATGAAACATTAAAATTTGTTTGTTCGAAAAGTTTTTCTCCGTAGCGGGAATCGTACCCACGCCTTCCGGAATCGTATCCAGACGCCTCAACCACTAAGCTCAACGACTGTTTTCCACGCCGACGAAAATCGCAACGGATTTTATCTATATTCTTGCAAAAATAGTAACTTCCTGAGGATTTGAGACTTATAACGAAAAAATATGTACAAAAGTCGTGCATAATAATGTTGCCAAACATATCGCATACATAAAATTAAACAGTATACTTCATCCATTGATTCGGTTGTATTTTGTTTATGTATTCAAGGAGTCCCATTTTAATTTCATTGGCATTGGCCCTTAGATTTCGAAGATACACTAGAAGTCCAAGAACAGAATCAAATAGGAAATGTATAGTATTGAAGTTTTTGAAGTCTCCTTTGTATTTAAAAAAAATGTTATCTTTGTACCTTGGTCTATTCCTCTTGTTCTTGATTATTCTTTAGTTCAATTATTATTAATAAGACCACATATGTAAACCCATTTAATATATTCAAAACTTACCTCTTTCACGGGATGGCAAATTCTCGACACGATCTGCGAGAACGCCGTCAGATACAAATATATGGGCAACCTCTCCGAATAAGTTTTGATGATCTCCGTCATTTGCGCCAGCACCGAATGGATGTTCATGTCCGCTGAAGTGACCTCCACGTCCAACCTACAAACATTTCAGACAAAAAATGATTACAACTGTCTATGATAATAAATATTACACTAAATTATACATAAAAAAATTTGTGGTACACTTTACTGAAAAACTATCATGGCTATAGACTTGTGCTTTAACATAGTAATTTAACTTCATATCTAGATGTGTTACCCGTAAAAAATAATAATTTCATAACCATAAAAAACATGAACATTAACAATTTGGTATGGATAGAATGTTATTGTAGTACTAACGTTAGAACACGAACACGAACACTGAAGAGTTAACATCGATGCGTAATAACTCAGTATAACAATACTAAAAATAATATAAGCATGTTATGGGTTGAATGCAGCGCTTGCACTACAACATATCCCTAGTTTTGAAAACCGGCCGATTGAGATACGCACCATATGGAAAGCATCCTCGGCATGCTCTGATACAAGTATTTGTGGCCGTATTGCAGCGCCTTGCCGTACGAGTTGAGCGCGTATACGCGCCTTGACCAGGTCAGATTGTTGGGCGCTGAGTCTCCGCTGCTCACTTTCTCGTAATACGCACCCAAACAGACCTAAACAGAAACGGTTACACTTTAAAAGCACCAACGCTTTAAGATAAACCAGCATGAAATTTTTGCGTTTGTCTTTTTTTTTCTTGTTGTTTAAAAAAACATTGCCCTTTCTTTAGGATAACATTATCCTTTGTTGTAAGGACGTTTTACAAACATATATTTCACGCGACACTGACACCCAGATGCGAAACAACTATCTCTGGGCCACACAAGTAGTTGTCCCGTGTGGGAATCGAACCCACGGCCCCCGACGCCGAATAAACGCCAATATTTTGCAACTGCGCCATCGAGTCATCCATCGCATCCACACAGGAACAAAACCGGCATAAACCAGTGTGCTCGAGCTACAATATGCATCGATCTCTCGCATCATTCCCTTATAAATAGCCCCTGTGATAGGGCTGCGCAACAGTCTTCGCTGTTGCACAAGTGGGCAGGTCCGTCCGGGTGAGTACCACGAACTCACAGAAGACCGACGTGAAGTTGAAGTGTTACACTTCTGCGTTTCGTCTGGTGAGCGACGTGACCGGGGCCGACATTAATAAAAGGCAAAGCATTTGCAACCCTACAGGTGTAGCCAACATCCATGTGCGGCGGCTATCACTTAACATCAGGTGAACCGCCAGCTCGCTTACCACCTTCTCAAATAAAAAAGTAGCGTTAGTTTGTTATTATTTTCGAGCCGATTAAGTTATGAAAGGAAAATATTTGTATTGCGTTTTCTACCTCAGGTGATCGTATGCAGCATTTTTAATAATGTCAAGTGTTCGCCTAAATATGAGAAATGATTATCATACACATAAAATTATTCATCGACGACGATTACGAAATGCTGCTGACCACTACAACAAACACAAAATGGTCTCCAAACTGATCTATAATTAACTATTATTTGTTTATTGTTATGAACCAATATAATTTAATATTTTCAGGGTATCCGACATATTTTAATTATGGAAGATTTACTATTTTAGGTCCTTTGAGTTATGAGTAAACCTTATGATGTAATAACAATTAGAAAAATGGCATATCATTTAGATGAAAGAGAGGGATGAATGAATAAATAATTAAATACTGATTAATCCGTATCTCCCAAAATTCAACCATAGCTCTCCTTGTAACTAAAAATATTCTATTTATATAGCGTACTATAGCAAAAAGTATCATTATGATGTGAACTCACCAAACTTTTCTCCCATTGCTTGAAGACTTCAACTGACTCTTTATAATATCCGATATTAACATCCACATCTACATTTGTGGTTTCATCGTTGTATTTCGCAATCAGAAGTTTTGCTTTTGCACAGATTTTCCTAAAAACAGTAGCTAAATTTGTCATAACATATAACACTTGGATTATTACTAATTTTGGACGCAATAAGCATAAACCATTTAATTTAAAAACATTTGTAAAGGTTTATTTTTGTAGACTGTAACCAATTCTTAGCGTTAAAAAAAAATATCTTTATTTTAAGAGTTAATTCGCTTCACATCCAGAAGCCAAACCAAAACACTAGGAATAACTTTGTGTTGATCCATGCAGTGAAACTTCTTGTCTCTTTGGCTATACGATAGAAGATTGAACACGAAATATATATTAATATAAAAAATTATGAAGAAACTTAATGCAGAAATAAAACGTTGCAAAGTTAATTAGTTATGACAGTTTTTATGGTGATAGCATAGTTATCGAGCTTGGAATTTTAGTTGATTTATTTTAATGTCAATAAAATATCAACCTCTGCTCTTGTGTGAGTTTGTCTATCTGGGGGTAGGTTTCGTCTAAGCCACGACGCAAGGTTGTGAATGCGTGCTCTTGCTGACCCCTGGCCCAGTACATCCTTGCTTTCTCAATGAACAGCTCCTCAGGCTGATATTCCTCGGCGTTCAGAATGTACATATAGGACTAGAAATCATAAAAAAATTATTTTAAAAGTTCATAAAAAATCTATTTTAAAAGTTCTCCATTATTACAAACGTCAACAAGAACGAATACCATATAAATATGACTCTGGCAACATTTACCGCATCAATTCTTTGTGAGTGTACATAGAATTTGAGAAATCATGAGCACATTCTTTTCTTGAGGTTTACCTCAACTCTATCTAGAAAACCATTTCAGCGTCCAAGTAAGTATGTAATTGTACAAGTTGTTCAAAGTTTAGTTTAGTTTTCCAAAGAGAGATCATATCAGAGCGAAATATGTTTTAAGACATCACCTGTTGGAATATTCCAGCCTTTCGAGCCTGTTTTGCGCTCTGCAACCAAAGTTCACCGATGCAAGCCCTTAACCGATTCGACGTCGTCGGGTGACTTGGTTCCAACAACTCCTAATTTTTTTAAACAAAAGTGTCAGTTTCAGATTTCAGTCTAATTAAGATATATCTAGAAGCGAGCAAGTAGTTAATCAGATGTTCAACGATGAACGAGGTGGTAGGGGTAGCCCATGGACATCTAAAACTGGTTTGGCGGATACGATATCAATATTTAAAGAATTATGCCCCGGTTTAACTCACTGACCAGCACTCACTGCTTAACACTCACTGAGTAACAGTTAAATATTAGTAATAAATGGGTAGACCCATTCGGGTAAGTACCACGACTGCACAGAAGACCGGCGTGAAGTGGAAGTGTTATACTTCTGCGTTTCTTCCACCCACTTTATTAAAAGGTGGCAACGGATCTGCAACCCTACGAGTGCTGAAAATGTCCATGGGCGGCGGTTATCACTTAACATCAGGTGAACTGCCAACTCACTTGCCAACTTTTCGCATAAAAACATATGCTTGAGAATCAAAATGGGGCACCTGCGTTTGCTGCAACAGTATCCTTCTGAGGCGCAGGAGCGGTTCAACGGTCCTCACATCTGACTGCACTAGGGCCAGCCTCCGACGCCACTCGTCCAACAGCTGGCTCAAGATCGTTTCGCCTTGACCGTCCCCGTCCCGCAATTCCTTCAGTCTAAAACACAATAAGAGACAGCAAGATAACGAAACATCGCTTTAAGCAAGAAGAGGTATGTATTAACGTTTCGAGCAAGGCTTTAAACTCTAATTAGTGGAGACCCTTATTATTGAACAAAGTACTGGCACTGGTAAGACTTTAATTTGAAACTGATGTACCCATATTTGTGTTATGTTTCTTTTAGTGGACTACATTATTTATAAAAAATAAAATTTTAGAAATCATTCTTAAATTGAACGAAACACAATCGTTTTGTATTTTAATACAACCATCATCAAAATATTAGTGTTATATAATTAATTATTTTTGTTTTTATATGTGCCAAAACATAGAAAGCAGTTGGGCGGAGTATTCTGCCTTCATACTCAATGTAAATACCGAATGATAAAATACAAATATCGTTGACGATCTAACTGACGTAGTGGATAGCGACCCTCTCTCTTGCGCCAGGGGGTGTGGGTTCGATTGCAACTACGGCAAATATTGTATGATGATCATATTGTTTTCCTAGTGTCTGGGTGTATAGATATCTGTAATATGTATTAATTTACAAAGCAAATTACGTTTAATTATGTTTATATCTGTTATCTAGTACAACAAACAGTGCTTGCTTAGTTTGGGGCTAGATAATGTTGTAGATAATAGACAAGCCCCGAAATATGACCAATCACCTCCACAACATCTCCTCGGCGTGCTCTGCCTCCTTAACTATGTGGAGGCCCAGAACGCTCTGGTAGCCGCTCCTGAGCGCGCTCTCGCCCCTGCTCTTGCCGTCCATCTGGGACAGGAGCTTGGATGCGGCGTCTCTACACGCGGCGGTGAAAGACCCCCGCTCCTGGGCCCGGAACGACAGAAGGACGCGGCCCATCAACAGACCCCAGTTCTCGCGGGACGGCGGCTGGAAAGCGAAAAACGTTTCTTATGAACTTTATTTATTCGTGAATGAATAAAAATGAATCATGTACCTCTGTACAGGTTATTCATTCACGTTGAGTATATAATAAATAATGCAATCCGAGAAACACTGCGATTACGCCTTAGCCACTTAATTGTTTCATACAGAGAATTGTAAACGGAATGTCTAAGAGACATTTTATAAAAAAAAGTATTGGAGTGTTAAACTTTCTCACAAAATGACAAATTCTTTAACAAAAAAAGACATACAGTGGTATCATGGCATATTGTTATGACAAACATGAATTAAACATTGATCTATAGGGTTTTTATTTCAGGCGTAAAAACGAGTCTGCAATTGAACAGTTACAACTTAATTATATTTTTTTTTTAACTTCTTTAAATGATATCAGTAATTTAATTTTTTCCCCTGCATTGGGACCGCACTCTTTTAGAAAAAGGTACATATATATCTCAATAATAAAGAAAAGTAGTACTCACAACTGGCTTCCGCGCCAATTGCTCCAGTTGCTCGAAGCGCCCCAATCGCCACAGCGGCTCGGCCGCCAACTCGGCCATGCTATCATCAGCGTCGCGCTCGTTCAGAAGCCGATACGCCGTGAACGGCTGGTCCAGACCCAAGTAGCAGTCAATCATGCCCTGGAATAATACAAGCAGTTACGACACTAGCGGGGCATTCAATCGAGGCGGGAGTTTGACCCTGACTGGATTTAAATTATTAATTTAAACCCAAGGAAATGTTTTCGGTGTGGTAGAGCACCAACCATTGTCAGATATCAGCAGTAACCAACAATAGGGGTACCGCAAGGCAGTGTTCTAGGATCATTGTTGTTGATTCGAAATTGAGATATGAAATGTTTTGGGAGAACTCCACTGACAAAGAATTAGCTTTTAAAGCACTAAAGAAATGTATCCCATCTTGTCTAATATAATAGCGATTTACATTTGTACATAACAACAAATTATACATTATATTTAATCTTTTATACGTTTTTTAGCGAATAATAGCCTTTGGTAATAGAGTTTAGATAGTAATAGCCCTATTTATATAGGAAAGTACCTGCAAACTGTGTTTGTCGAGTTGGCCTTCTTGAGCAAGTCTCTCATAGCAAAGTGCGGCGTCTTGCAATCGGCCGGTCACCACTTGGGCGAGAATCAATTCCTTCAGCGATGGTTCAGATCGTTTGATAGATAAAATTCCTGAAACGGTAGTATTCTATTCAACCTGTTTCAATGACTGAAACAATCATACAAATCGATTTTACGCTATGTCAAAAGTCCATAACTTTTCGTAGATGAATTGCATTCAATAAAAAAAGGTCAATTAATACAACATCCTCAGAGCAAATAACCTGTGGCAGTGAAGAAAAATACTTAACTACAGAATTAAGATTCATAGTAAAAAATAGACGTTAATGAAAAACAATTTTTTTTTCTCTTTTTTTTAAATACTACTTTTCTTATTACTCTAAAAACTACTTACACCAATTATTTAAAGAAAAAGGAATGAATATTAAAACGAATAAATTCACATACAGATGACTGGCCCACGGGCCGATTACTGAACGAATGAGAACAGGTGACCGAATGGATTGGTGAACGACGAACGAACGGATGGGCCTGTCACTGAATGAATGAAAAGGCGATTGGATTAACGACGAATGAAGTGCGCGTGAATGACGAATGAGCGGAATCTAACCGGCGAGCGAGTCGGGCTCGTCGAGCAGCGCGTAGATCTCGGCCAGCAGCGGCAGCTGCTCCTGCACTCGCTCCCTGCGCCCGTCCATGTGCAGCTCCAAGTACTGAAGGGCGCGCTCCAGCTCGCCGCAGGCGAAGTTTCCGCGCGCGATGCTCAGCTTGTCGAACTGCTCCAGGAACGAGCTGATTGCTCTGGAATAGAGTTGTGTAGCTCGCGAGTGAGTGAGTGATAGAAAACATAGTGTTGCGAGCTAGTTGTTCGGGATCGGAGTGAAACGCCGGTTATATAAATCTTCACTTATTCCCTTATTCTGCATCGTAGGGACGTCGCAAAGGCACGAATTAAACTGATACGGAAATTACTGCAAGTGTGAAATGCACTACGAAAATCCAATCCAAGGCTAAAGTATCGATGCCAACCAAAGAGTAAAGCAACTGCGATATAAAACACTATTAATAAATAATAATTTATTTGACCTATCTCGCTCTACAAACGAAATGCAAAAGTATGAGTACTTAAATTTCACGCCGGTGTTACATGTTGCATCACATTCATGCAGAACCAAAAAATGCTGAGTATCCTTTATATTATTATCCATAGAAAAATAATAAGAAATACTTTACATTTAAAAAATATATTCCCTCAACGATATGTTGCTTCCTTTTTAAACTTAAATTAAAATGGCAAGTAATTAATTATTTTGTGCAAATGTCACCGACTTACTTGTAATTGTCGTTATCTAAAGGCCGCTGCTTCAAATGACACCACTCCAACAGCCACCGATTCAAGAAGTCGAATAATATATAAATTGTTTTGCTACATTTGCTCTGAAATTTTAAATATAATTTTTTATATTCATTTTGTTGTTTGTGTTATGTTTAATATAAAAATAAAATAAATTAAAGTAGCAGCATTGCATAGACGTTTATTTATTGATATACAAGCGACCCACCCCGGCTTCGCCCACGGGTGCACTGTATTATACATAATTATAAACCTTCCTCTTGACTCACTAGTAAAAAAACCGCATCATTATCCGTTGCGTAGTTTTAAAGATTTAAGCATACATATGGACAGACAGACAGCGGGACGACTTTGTCATACTATGTAATGATGTTATTCTTTACCTGATTGCCCTCTTCGGCCTGTATCGAAGCGATATTCGGAGTCATTCTTATATGCCGCAACATCTTATACTTGGCTCTATTAGAAGTAACCTCGGCTTCTACGTCGATGCTTTCACGGCCTATAGAAATGCAGTTGAACAAAATATCAGCCTCAAAATAACGACTGCAGCACAACTCTATTTGACTTCACTTTAAAAGGAAAAAAATCTGTATTAAAATTAATTGGTATACTGGAATACATTTTCTAATGTTTTTATAATCTCAATTATGTTATCTAATCGCGCTAATACTAATATTTTAAACATAAAAGTTCATGTACACAGTTGTTGAGTTCCCTTTTGACAAGTTGATATGATGGGTAACACAGATGACGATTACGCAACACTTAAATATGATTGAGGGAAATTACTCAGAGTACTTTTAGTGTACTGTCAAACGAAAGAATGGAGTCAACATTTACTAAGCCTAAGATCTACCTAGCCTATATCTAAAATATATACGTTCAATAAAACGAATAAAGAGGTTGATCGAAATGTACACTTGAGTGCAGTGTGAGTGAGACAAAATGATTAAGATTGCGGCGCGAACGAGAGGGAAATACATATAGTCGATGAACTGAGGACTGAAAGCTAACATTATCGGTTAAAAGACAAGAACAAAACAAACGGTTACGGTTAATTGATTCTGTTGTTAAATTCCAATTCAAATAATTTCTCACCTCTAATTTTACTAGACGCCATGCTTGAATCTATCAGATTTCTACAATTTATAGAGGTAAAATTATCCAGTACCTATAACCGCCAGTATCTCCTCCTGTACGTACTGCGCCACAGATTTCGACATGATGGCGTGAAGCAGCACGTAAGGGAAGAAGAGGAACAGAGTGCGCACGTCTCGCCGCATGGAGGGGTGTACAGCTCGTAGGAGATCGCGCACGCTCTCAGACTCTATTAGAGAAATCAGCTGTCCTGTCCAACTGGAAACAAATAAAAAAATCTTAAGATATTTTAGAGTAGGTAATATCTCGAGTATTCAGGAAAATCGATATCACATTTCCTTTTCTCTTTCTATTAATTTAATCGATTTTTGCAGTCATCTGGATAGTGCACAAGAATTATTTTACAAGCGTGCAAATGGACTTACTATCTTCCACAATAATTCGAATTAAATACAACATCATCTTTCTAGATTAACTAGAAATCTACAGTAGTCATGGTTTAATAAGAATGGAAATAATATTAAGCGCTGTAAAGCATTCAAAACTTTAGTAAAAAAATAAAACAAAAAATTATATTTTTCCAAAAGGGAAAATATATTACAGAACATTGTGAACATCCCTTACTTGTGAGCCCATTCGAGGAATGTAGTGGCGTGCACTGAACCAAAGAGCGGGTGCGTTTTCTTTGGTTGAGAAGGATACGCCAAGGTGTATCTGGAATAGTTTGAGGTAAACCAATATGTTTAAAGCAAATATTTAACTTCTTCCTGCATGTATTATTTATCATTAAAATAAACCATTTTTGTCAAAATTTATTAAGATGAAAAAGCTTACGTTTTTTTTACATTGATAGATTTTTTATTTATTAAATATTTAATCTAAGTACAACATATTTTATTTCTATATCAACAGTATTTTTATATATTGTTTCTCTAAGTTGCTTTTTATCGGTAAGCCATAACATCCATAATTCTTCATAAAACTTTATGATTCCGGATTACAGAATGTCTTGAAGGTGGTACGGCCACGCAGCTACGGCTATTGCACGAATGGGCAGAACCGTCCGAGTAAGTAGCACGACCTCGCAGAAGACCAGCGTAAAGTGGAAATATGACAAATACTTTCGCGTTTCGTCTGGTGAGCGAGGTAGCCGGAGCCCAATTTTCAAAAGATTGTCAACGCCTCTGTACCCTCGGGTGTAGCAGATGTCCATGGGCGGCGGTATCCACTTACCATCAGGTGAACCGTCTGCTCGTTTGGCAACTTTTCACATAAAAAAAAGAAAAGAAAAAATGTCTGATATAGCCACCTATTAACATTTCAACAGTCGACTGAAAAACGATACTCTTCAAACGAATACAAGATAACAAACAAAAGATACGTTTCATTGTTTCAGATTCGCAAAATACTTTGCGAAAATTTCGCATCGGCCAGGGTTGTTGCACACATAAGCGGGTCATACTCTAATTATTATATGGTTTACACACATGAACATTTTAATGGAAAAAACGTTACTGTGGAATAAAAGACCTGGAACTGAGCAGGGGATACATGATCTGGTGCATGTTCTCCGGGAAGCTCTCCCATACTTCCTTCTTCGCCCCTGTCGGTGATATGTCGTAGATCTTTAATATCTCCTGTATCGTTAACGCGTAACAGTCCATGTTCTGAAAGGGAAGTTTATTCAACACATTCAATGAACTGATCAACGGAAATACAAACGGATGCTATAGGCAATATTACGGTGGTAGGGCCACGCAACGGTGTTCGCTGTTGCACGAACGGGCAGGTCCGTCCGGGTTAGTACCACGACCTCACAGAAGACCGGCGTAAAGTAGAAGTGTTGCACTTCTGCGTTTCGTCTGGTGAGTGAGGTAGCCCTTGCCAACTTTATTAAGAGGTGGCAACGCATCTGCAACCTTACGGTTGTTGCAAATGTCCATGGGCAGGCGATTATCACTTAACATCAGGTGAACCGCCAGCACGTTTGCCACTTTCTCACATAAAAAAAATTAATAAATAACATATCTCTTACATCCTAGTCTTATCCCAGCTTGGTGGGGGTCGTTGTTATTAATGGTATTGGATAGTTTATGTATCATGTATTTAGTATTCATCTATACCAAGCACCTCACGTAATTTATAGGACCATAGGAATAAGCGCCCAAATCCAGAACAATTATGTGTGAGTCACGCAAATTCTTCTTCGAACCCACGACCCCCGGCGTCGAAGCCAATAGCTATAAACTGCGCTTGGTTTAGACAAATCAGATAAAAGGAACCTCAAAGGTGTGTCTAGGCCGGACATAGTGAACTCAATTAGTGTAGATGATGTCGGAATTATATGCATATTATTATGTACCTACTCACTACGACCCGATTGACGTAGTGTGTATTTCATTAGTTATATAGTACCCATAGTACAAGCGTTGCTTAGGACACATTTTACACAACATTCTCTAATCCCAACATTAGAGAATGTTGTGTAAAATGTGTCCAAATTATTATTATTATTATATTATTTTCAAAATTAAGAAGGTAAAATTATGTTTTTGAAGAGATTTTTTCTAGAATAAGCCTTCACGTACCGTTGTATCTTTTTCATACTGGAACGCTCTAGAAAGTTCCACGAGGGCGGTAGCGGCGAAACAGTTGTCGACTATAGAGAACGCGAACGGCGATCTGTCGGGCTGGACATATTGGCGGGGCAGATGACCAGCCTCTATGGCTCCCAGCTGCCCCAGGCAAGAGCCACTCGCTTCCCTCACCTTTCCATCAAGATCCTTGCAGCCTAAAACGAAAGCCAACCTTGAAGACAAGTGCAGAGGGGTTATATTGGCATAACCGTTTATGGAGCATCCAGCTTTCTATATTGACACAACCGTTTATGGAGGATCCAGCTCACCCAAGGTTTCCATGGTTTGTAATATAAAAGTATTTTTAAGTAACAAATGTTGTACACAATAAAATTGATCTATTACAGACATCATCCTATCCAAATATTAAATTGCTTTACACTTTTATCCGAGACATAAGCTAAGCAAATATTTTTCAATATATATTGAGACATTGTGGTGTAAAAGGGATCTAACATAAATCACTCAGTGTTATGATTAGTCAAATGCAATCCTCTTGTGATATAAGTCAGCTTCAAGATGTTTGATATAATGTAAAAAAAAATAGAAAGAAGGGCTAAAATGTGTATGAAGCCGTAATTGAATTTCGATGCCTTAACAATATTATATCTAGTATTATGAGTTTGACCATTAAAAAATTAATCTTACCAAGCAACAAACAGTCAATAAGCTCTACTATCACTGGGTCAATATTCCTTCCACCGAATATAGCTTTGTGAATTTCAGTTCTATTGTTCTTTAGTAACTTATCCAAGTGAGAAAGAGCGTAAGCCTTTATAGTCGGTATTTCATGATTCAAATGTTCCAAATACCATTTAATTTTGTCTAGAAACTCTTCTGGTTGAGTCCTATTCACGTGTCGTTTTATAACAATTTTCACCTTCTCCGATATCTCAGAATCCTCTAGGAAGAAAAGATCTGACAAATGGCTGCTCAACAGATTCTCATTTTTGAAAACGAGATATTGAAATATCCTATTTATCTCTTGCGGGGCGTGTTCAAACTGTTGCAGTAACGACACGGCGAGATTTGAGAGCAGAGGGCCTAGGGAAATACCGTCTATGTTGTGGATGAAAGCGGCCCACGCTTCAGCGAGAATTTTGGGGAACTCCCTCGCCAGTGGCAGGGCAGACCTCAAAGTAGCGAGGACTTTGAACCTCAACGGGGTGATGTATTTCACACCCATCAGTTGCATCATGTCGGGGAAGCTCTTCAGGGCCTTGCGTTTCACCGACAACGCCACCTTCGCGTTCACCAGCTTGTGGTCGAAATACGCTAACACACCGAGGAACTTCGGATTCAGGAAATCCGCTATTTGCGCGGTGCTCATTCTCATGCTCCCAATGGGGGTCGAAGCGTCCGGGTCGTGGCAGGCGAGGTGCCTACACGCGTTCAGCACTTTGTCCGGGTTGCAACAATACTGCAGCAGGAACTCTGTAAGGATGACCCTAAAGTGCTTCTTGATAAGGCTCAGGATGGAGCACCTCGTGAGCTTCTCCAAAACCGCATAGCACTTATCGGCTACTGCGCTGGTCTCGTTCAGATAGACATGGACATAAATGAGTGGAAACCGTTCGACGATAAAGTCGGATACGGAACACTGAACTAGAGACGCGATTTCCTCGATCATTGACGGCACTTCTTGTATAGTAGCAGAGTATGGTATCAGATATGGCAGGAAATGGTGCACGTCCTTGGAAATAAAGTCCCTGTAGCCGACGAAGCCGAAGGCTCTGACGACTTTCAATAGGGACATTGCAAACTCTTTGCCGCTGTGGAGACTACAATCGACGAAGAGTCTGCAGTAGTCTTTTTTGTATCTGTGGTACACCTGATTCGGGGTTAAACCTTGAAACTCGCAAAACTCCCTCAAGTAAACGACCGCTTTGGGCGCCAAAGTGCACTGGGGATGCATGATGAAGTAAATAAACAGTTTCGTCACTGGCAGTATGGCCCGTTCGTTGCTATACAAGCCAAACTCTTTTATTAGGTTCAATGTTTCTGTTTGCTGATTGTAATTGTTGCTTTCCAGGCTCGTTTGCGTCCTGCTAACGAGGAGCTTAATGCAAAGGGAGAAAATGTCTTCCTTTTGGGAAGTTCCATCAGCCCCTAGTTCAAACTGAAAATTAAATAAAAAATGTACAGAAAGGGAAACAGAGTGTTTATGGTCTTACAATGATTGTTGGAAATACTCACTATTGGATTACCAATAAAAGGCCTGAGTGGTTTCAACACATCTTTTAGATTCCCTTCATTGATAATTTCAGTTGAAACACCATAGTCAAACACATTATAATGGTTACACAGTCGTTCAAGAAGCATCCAGTACTGAGTTTTTTCTATATTTGTGTACACTTTATGGTTTAAAAATTTCGCAAACAAATTGCGTAATCCATTAAGTATTGACTGCTGTGATGGTGTGGTTTCAAACATGTCTCTGTTAATTTCTATGTATTCTTTGTTTAAGTTATTTAAGAAGTCCTCATGTCCTTTAGTATCATTATTATGGCAGTTGTAACAAACAAGTGATATATGTAATGCTGTATTTTTGAATATGGAATGTCCTATAGGTGCACAACTGTCAAGGATAATGCTATATGTTCCCAGAGCAATACAAGCCATGGCTGGAATTACATAAGTTAATTGAGCTTGCACTTCTAAATCCTTAGAAAGGAATGCTGGTATTAACACTTCTCCAATCAGCTTACTAGCAGAAGATATTTTACATAAAACAAACAGAGGACACAGAGCAATAATCTGAAAAGAATCAAATAATTACAAACCATCATTGACATTAACAGAATCTCATAATAACATATTAAACTTACCTCTTTGTATGTGGTGTCATTCTTATTTTTCATAACAGAATTAACAAGAAGAAAAGTTATTTTATCAAAGTTAACATTTTCTTTCATTTTCAAAATTATTCTTGACAGTAATACATATTTTAATATCTTAATCTTTATACTATCACTATAGCTACTTACACTATTCATTGTTTGAGGACTATTTTGCAGGCACAAAACTTGCAGTACTATATTTATTTTAGATGAAGACAAAAATAATATTTTACAAAGTATGTTACTGGATATAGATAAAGATATTAAAACAATATCAAGGAACAATGAAAAACAACTACTGTCTTGAAGTAACAAGTAATCACAGTGCTTGATCAATTTCATACAGTTGTCCCACATCTTTTGTAATTGAAATTCACCTAAAAGGTTTATGTTAGAATTATTGGTCTTCTTATACTGAATACAAACATATTGCCAAATTCTCAATGCAGATAAATATTTACTTAAATTAAATGACAGAACATGTATATCTTGATTTAGAGTTTCACTCACTTCCAAACAATTCATTACACTAAGTACTTGTTTGAAGTACCAATCATCATTTAAATCTAATTTATCACATTTTACCTTTTTGTTTGCAATGTTCAGTAAAATTCTTTTGATATAACAGTCTGCTAACATATCTATTTCATATGAATTTTTCCTTTCTATTTCCAGTATATATCTAGGTAAATCGATTCTATCACTTAATGACAAACAGTACAATTTTAACTCTTCATTAAAAATGCTACTCAATCTTTTTTTCAAGATTATACTGCATATTGTAGAAAGTATGTCATGATGTTCCGATAAAAGATGATTGTTACAAGTTTTCATTAATTTTAGCAATACTGTGTTAAAAATTTTAATATAGTCTGAATTAAGTGTGCTATTATGAATAAGTGCATCCAAGGATTGTAAAATACTTTCAATCCCACACAACAGTTGTTTATATATGCTTGGAAAAGTAATTTGAAAATGTGTCCCCGATACAGTATTGGTATTGATGATTAAATCACAAAAAAACCTCAATGAAAATAATTTTACTTCTGCACTAAAATTTTCCAGCATGTACAATACCTGACTAAATACCCTATGAAGATCATTAAAATTTCTATCAACATTTAGGAGAGATGGTGGTATACATTCTGATAATAACTGTAACACTATATCTATCAATGAAGTGCAAATAGCAATACTTTTTACTTTTACACTTATTGGTTCTAGATTTAACTGTACATTTGGTATGTTTATTTGTTCCGGTAAAAAGTAATTCAATACAATTTCTTGAGAAATTTCTGTGTCTACATTTTCCTTATAATATTTTGACAAGTCATCAAGAATTGAATAATATGGCTTCATCAGTTTTTCATAAAAGGATGCAGAATTGAAACACAATATATTTAAAATTTTCACTTGAGCATCTTTACTTGACAGATGGATCCTAAAAGTAGACAAACATTTTCGAGATATGAAGAATGAACCTTAATACAAAATATTTGAAACACAATAAAATAGATAGAAAAACTAACATTTGAAAATATATTTAAATGCTAAAACTTACAAACTTTTCTTTTCTCTATAATTGCTACAGTATTGTAACAGTGACAGGAAAAATAAATTCATCTATTGATTGTATAATTAGCAATTTTATAGCAGTTATATGAATACAACATTTACATCAATGTACATACAACATTTTTATTCTCTTTTATGTGTTTTATCAATGGCACAATAACTCAACATTTTATTTATATCAAAATATTTTTCTAATGCTTGTTGAAAGTATATTTTTCTCTATATAGAATGATTTATAAATCTACTTACTTATTTAGTTCCCCCACAGAACACACATAAAATAATCTACCCAGCAACCAAGTATTGAATGAACAATAATACATATCAGGACATTTTGGGACGCCAGGCTTTGGTACTAATACTTCTGAAAAATCTCTAAAACAAAAATCATTTCTTCAAATAAATATTTGCTCGATAGCCTATGAAAAGAACCAAATAATAAAACGAAATATATGGGCATGATATAAGTGGAATTAGAATAGTAAAATCTGTAATTGCTATATCGAAGTAGTAATTTGCTAAAATTTTACCTGGAGGATTTCGTTAGTGAAAATAAGTTTTTCTTTTTTTTCTCTCGAGAACTATAAGCGACAGGCGAATTCTACTTGTAGATTATTTCATTAGTGATCTTTCTTTATCTCATGAAAATTTTACTCATCAGTTGTACTAATCGACTTCGAAAGACAAAAATATAGCACATGTATTTTAAATTCATGGTAAAATTTATTTAACTTACCCAGAAAGTTTTAATATTGATGTTAATAATCTCTCAAGTCCGTCAGAAGCGTGCTCCAAATTATTAAAAAGTACCATAGTCGGCGCATTAAACATTTGCCAAACTGTAAATGGTCCATCATGTATATCTTCATCCATTATTATATTTTTACTATTTTTTATTTTTACAATGGAAGTTTCCGAAAATTCATAAACATCATAAAAGTAGTGACAGTGACACTTACAGCTGAGCTGACAGTTTTTTTCATTTAAGTTTCGCGCCTTACCGGTTACAATATATAGATTTTTTAATAAAGATTTTATGGCTTGGTAACAAGACCTTTAAGCCAAACAATATTTATAATTGGCAATGATTTCTCAGATAAATTAAAATAATGCTGTTTCAACAAAATCAGTCACAGAAAAGAGATTTTGTTCCGAGTTCCCATTGTAGAGAAGTGGATGTATCAATGAAAAATAGGTCGCTCGTAGATGATTTAATATCTGAGAATTATTGATGTTGCACTTGAGCTGTTGAAGTTGTAAGTGACGAGGCAGAAATTGGGTATCTCTGGGGGCCCCGATCTATGCGGAAGTGATGTTTGGTGTTGCCGTAACATGCTGCCCGGGTTGAAGTATTTTACTTCAAGATGATGCTGCGAAGACCAGGAGTGGACATATGTTGTTGTAAGCCCTCTGGATGACTCCTTTCTTGGTTAAGATGTCTGCTACACGGTTGATGTTGTCTATTCCCGGGTGAACCTTCAAGACTCTGCCGAGAAGCCAAAGCAGTGGTGGTTGGTTTTTGTCTTTGACCAAGACTAATGATCCCTGTTGCAGAACACCTGATGAAGAATTCCATTTTAATTTTTGTTGAAGAAGAGATACGTATTCCAAAGAAAAACGCTGTCAAAAGTGTTGCTTCAATTTTTCAATTTTTTCATATCTTTGAAGACGATCGATTTTCGTATCAATGACCTGAGGGATGAGGAAATGTGCAGGTGTTAAACAGGAGAGGTCGGAAGGATCAGTGGATAGAGGTGTTAAGGGCCTTGAATTAAGAATAGCCTCTATTTGGACCAGCAAAGTTGTCATCTCCTCATATGTTGGATGCGCTAAAGATAGTATACGCCTCAGATGGTACTTTACAGATTTTACTCCAGCCTCCCATAAGCCGCCACAGTGTGGAGAGTATGTAGGAATATTTTTAAACTCTATTCCTTTGTTGCACAAATCAGTATGGATGTCTTTTGAATACATGTCGAAAAATTTATTAATGTCGTTGCTAGTGCCTACAAACGTCGTGCCGTTATCGGAATATATAGTTCGAGGCTTACCGCGACGTGACATGAACCTATAGAGTGCTGCTAAAAAGGCCTCCTTTGTTAGGTCCGTGACGAGTTCGAGGTGAAGAGCTTTGATTGCGAAACATACAAAAATACATATGTAAGACTTTGTTAGTTTGCCACCCTTGCCTTTACGGTCGATTTGTTAATCGCTTAAGTGCTGTTGCACTGGCCCGGCGTAATCTATGCCTGTGGTGAGGAAAGGAAACTCTAATTGAGTTCGATCACTAGGCAAATCACCCATGATTGGCTGGATAGACTTAGGTTTAAATCGAATGCAAGGAACGCAGCCACGCACTATGCTTTTGGCGAGGTTCCTCCCCCCAAGTGGCCAATACTTTTTTGTTATTTGAGACGACAGTAACTGTGGGCCCGAATGTAACATGTCCTTGTAGTGATACTTGAGGAAGATAATTTTTGTAAGATGATGTTTACTACATAATATAATAGGGTGTTTAATGTCGTAGCAATAGGGTGAATTATTAAGACGTCCACCAACACGTATAATGTTATTATCATCTATAAATGGCGTTAATGAGGTTAATTTATTACGCTTGTGTAACAACTGTCCCGATTTCATTAATTTATATTCCTCTGGGAACATCTCTTGTTGTGCAATGTATAGTATGTAATTTTCCGAATTTTGAATTTCTGCCAAAGATAGTACGTCGAAATTTTTTCTATTACGATTTTTACAATTGTGAATAAATCTATATATGTAAGCAACTATTCTTATAAGCCTTAGATAATTTGAAACTATGAATTAATTTTGAAATTATATTTGTATCTGTATTATTTACTGTCACTAAATTTAATGAAATTTCTGGAAGTGATTTTGAGTTATTGTTTGGACGTGTTGAAAACTGTATTTCAGTTTTATGTAAAAAACTAGGCCCGGACCACCAAATGTCTGATTTTACAAGAAACTCAGCTTTCACCCCACGAGAAACTAGGTCTGCCGGGTTTTCCTTCGAGGGTACGTAACTCCATTTACTACCAGCAGTACTATCCTGAATTTCCCCCAATCTGTAACGAACAAAAGTTTTTAGACTGCTGGGAGACAATTTTAGCCAATCTAGAACGATTGTCGAATCTGTCCAGAAGTAAGAACAATTGAAATTAATTGTTAGTGACTGCATTACCTTATTGCAGAGTCTTGCACCCAACAACGCACCACATAACTCGAGACGAGGAATAGTAGCCGGTTTTAAAGGTGCTACTTTGTTTTTAGAGATTAAAAGTCGAACGCAAACCTTACCATTATTGTCAATTGTTTTTATATACACACATGCGCCATAAGCCTTTTCGGAGGCATCCGAAAATGTGTGAATTTCGAGTGTTGCAGATGTGTCTAATGAAAACCAGCGTGGAATATTTAACGTCTTTAAAGATTCAAAGGATTTAATAATACTAAAGAAACTAGTTTTTATTGTCAATGACACTTCATCGTCCCAACCACGCTTATCCAACCAAAGTTGCTGTATAAGAATTTTCGCTTCAACTGTACATGGACCCAAAAGCCCTAATGGGTCGAAGACTTGACTTATAAGTGATAAAATTTTAAGCTTAGTTATTTTTTTTTGAGTCTAAATTTAAATTAATTGAAAATAATAGAGTATCTGCCCTTGGGTCCCAATGTAATCCAAGAGTTTTACAAGGAAGAGTTTCACTTAAGCTTAACGGCTTTTCTACGTTATTCTCGTGAGAATTTGCTACTAAAGAATTTAATATTTCTATGTTATTAGAGCGCCATTTTCGAAGGTTAAATTTTGCCGATTGCAAAGTAGTAATAACGTTTTGACATAGGTCTATTACATAAGCAATGGTATTGCCACCGCTAAGAAAATCGTCGACTAAAAGTCTTTACGAATGGCGTCCTTAACTTCGGGCTTTGAACATTGGTCTGCAAGAGTGACAAGACATTTTGTTGCCAAGTATGGCGCTGATGCCGTGCCAAATGTCACCGTATTAAGACTGTACGTTTTTATCTGTTCAGAAGGATTGAACCTAAATAATATTTGTTGCAAAGGTCGTTGTGATGGATCTACGAGAATCGCTCGGTACATTTTCTCTATATCTCCGGATACAACGTATTTGTGTTGTCTAAACCTTAATAAAATTGACAATAAGTCGTCTTGTACTACCGGTCCTACCATCTGAATATTATTCAATGACTTGCCTGACGTTGTAACCGCTGAACCGTCAAAGACAACTCGTAACTTAGTACTTGTACTCGATTCACGAATAACTCCGTGATGAGGTAAATAATAATTATATTTATTCTGAGTATGAGGTGGTAAGCTTTCACTCATATGGCCTAGGTTAAGATATTCTGACATGAATTCTAGATATCTTTCTTTCAAAAGAGGTTAATTTTTTAACCTACGCTCTAGAGATATGAACCTACGTTTTGCTAGATTGTAGGAGTCACCGAGAACTTCGGGCGAGTCTTTTAGAAGAATAGTGACGATGAATCTACCTTGATCATCACGCCTCGTATGCTCTGCAAAACTGCTTTCACAAGCTCTTTCTTCGATAGATAAGCTATAACTATGCGATACAGAATCAAGTTCCCAAAACCGTGTAAGTTGTGACTCATCATTTTGAATGAACAGGCAAGACTGCGCGGCCTTTAATTTTTTACGATGTATCGAGCCTGATATTATCCAACCGAACTTTGTCAGTTGCAACTTAGGATGTTGCTTACCTAAGTTAATTGATGTAGAACCTAAGACGTCCCAAAATATTTCCGCTCCGTGTAATATGTCAACAGCGGACGGAATATTAAATGAAGGATCCGCTAACTCAATGTTTGAAGGTAGCGGTATGTTTCGAATGTCGATATACGATGAAGGCAAAACATCGGTTATGTTTGGTAATACGTAACAATTTAAGTCAACTGTGTAGTCTCCCTAGTTCGACTTGATAGTAAGGTTACAAGACTCTGCACTGAAGGAATGTTGATTATTGATACCTGTTATAGTGGAGTCAGTACTACGTCTTACCAGACCTAGTTTCTCACAGAGGTGTTGTGTGACGAAGTGTGAAGTGCTGCCGTTGTCGAGTATGACGCGAGCCGTGTGAAGTCTCCCCTGTGCGTCAACCGCTTTCACCAACGCTGTGGAAAGTAATATGTAGGGTTTATCAAAGGTTTGAATATCCGTAGACAAAACAACAGTTGTTGGTGTGTCCGTATCTTCATGTAAGAGCGTATTGTGTTTATGTTTACAATACTTGCAGTGTGTTAAGCTGCATTGTTTTTCTTTATGGCCAGGCCACAAACAGTTTTTGCAAATATTAAAGTTTGTGATTTTTAGTAGACGTGATTTTACATCTAAATTTCGAAAGTCTTGACAATTAAATAAGAAACGGTTCTGTTTGCACATTGGACATAGCACAGGTTTGTCTGTATGTTTATATGTGTTGTGATTAAAATGTTTTGTTTTGTTTACGAATATGAATACTGAATTACGTTAACTGCAGCCGAAGGACCCAAAAAAAACCGAAACTGATTTAAAAATACTTTATTATAATATAAAAATGACAATATAATTATAACTAGAAAAGTATTGAATCTGATCGATGCTAGATCTAGAATGAATATAATTATTAGAACAAAAATTAGGAAATCGAATATTGGCGAGCTCCGATTGCATCCGTCGACGTCAATGATCACGTTCCTGCTGAGTTGCGCCTCGTGCCACTGGAATGTATCTGGGCCGCTGCTGTGTAGGCTCTTTACTTATTGGGCTA